CAATAGAATATCAACTCGCTCGCGCGCAATCGTGAGATCTAGTTTTCTAGAAGACATCAGTGTTTATCCCCACTGAAAGAGAAAGGATTTACAGTAGGTATCACGAAACTTACAGTATTTTCAGCCAGGCTACTGAAATACTAGTACCAAGAACCGCCTTTATCCTGTATTTGCTCGCTTTTTATATTTTCATATCAACGAAGATTTATTTTGTATTGATGGTATTTTCTATTCGATTAATCGGATTGCTCTTTTTCCGATTCGATTCACTTCGATTCGAATGGTGGTTGCGAGTTGAAATTTAATCGGATGTACGTTATAAGATTAGCTGTGTGTTTCAAATATTTTTTTTTTATGAAGTTTTGAAAAATTGTCGAGATCCAAGTTTTTTTGTTGCGCTGAATTATGTTTTACACACAGTTGCTGGACTAAGCAAAGAGTGACATAGGGCTGATTTTTGAATGGAGATAAAAGTTATCTAAGGAATAATTTTATAATGATGCTGTCGCATCAGAATGTTTGTATAAGACAGTGACAGCAACAATTTTATTCCTCAGATAACATTTATCTGACTATTGAAAAATCAGTCCTAAGCATTGAATTTGTTTAGCAATTTAACGAAATTTCCTTACGAATCAAAACTATGTATTTACATAAATTGTGGTAAATAGCAGCCATTTTAGGTCGTTTAATTAAAAGTAAAGCTACAAAAACCGATTTTAAGATGAATTAAAATAAAATTATGTTTTTTTCTCTAACATTACCCTACTAACTGTATTGTTAACAGCCTGTGAACTACATGCTGGAGGCCACCTCTTGTATGGTGTCAAAACCAGTCAGGTATTGTCAGCTCCCTTCCCCTTTCAAACAAACAAAGCCCTTTGTTCGTCAATATCATCTATTTTTCCCTCTTTTTCAATAATCTTTGTGATATATAGGTTGAGTTTTTAATAATGTTAGGTGTTTAATCCTAGGCCTTAAATGTAAACGGTTTTTTTTTCTTTTAATCGTTTTAAGTTGCATATAAAATTCATTAAGAACTGAATTATTGAGAGATGCATGTTGGTAGGTTTTAACATTTTCTAGAAACGTAAAAGGTCTATTTTTTTCCTGGTCACATCGTCATTTGATTTTTCATCATCATCGTCATCTTATAATTGTTCACAGCTGAACAAAGGCATCTTTTTACACGGAGAATGCGTGATGAGCATTACTCGCTACGCTTCCTCAAGGCAGATTTAAAATTTGTAATTATTATAAAATTAATAGTCCAGGTTTCTTCACTGTGTTTTCCTTCGCCGTAGTCACAATTAGTTGTATGATATTTACTGCTAAATTTTCTAAATCGAAAACCCTATAATGTTCTACCTAACCCAATAACCGACCCAATAATTTATAAAACAACACGATCCCAAAAACTTCAATTAAGCAGAAGTCTGAAATCAAATATTTTTCTTCGAAATTGTTACATTCAGAGAGTTTTAACAGAATTCTGAGTTTTGTAAGTTTCGAAGCAATCAGAGTTGATTGGAATTCTACTTTCATTTTGCTGGGAAATTTTCAAAAGAGCCCGAGGTGTTTTTGGTTTCGTTTCAATTGTGAAATGGAAATCCTAATTAAGTCCGTGTTTTTTAAGATAATTATACTCAAAACAGTTGTACATTTTTGATTATAATGATATACAGATTAATGTTTGCATTTAATGCCCTTCCTGTATGTCATATGGATTTTCGTATTTGTTTATCGCTCAATACAACTGCACAAGTCCATAAGCCCTGTCATAGCTAATAGAGTTACCTCGCCAATCAGCTGGGAAAGTAAGCCATAAACTTATGTTAAACATAATTTATTATTGACTTTAAAGTGATATGTAGAAAGACATTTTATATGATGAGGATATGAAGATTTAAATAGAAAGTTTATTAAAATGCAGAAGTACTCAACTTTTACACTTATAATAAAAAAAACGTCTGCGATTTTCTCGTGTGACATTTATGCGCTTACAAATATACAATTTCACACTTTACTGTGTTACAAGCTGCCGTGGTCACAAGCATACTCATATGAATAGTATGCTTGTGACGTCAAGTAAAAAAACTGTTAAGTATAAATATGCAACGAGAAAGCTTAAAGTATAATATACAATTCCACACACAGATCACCCTCAGTAACAAATTATGATTATACAAAGAGACAACCCGCGACGCTTTGCACAGCAGCCAGTTACCCAGCGATCTGTCTATGCCCACTTTCTTCCCAAATTCTCAAAGCCACGCTTCCCTTAAACACAACATAATTAAACCTTAAATATTCCACTCGCTTTGTATAGAAAAAAGGGATTAACAAAAATCTTTTGTTAAGGTACAACAATTAGCGAAGGGGAGCGAAAAATTCGAGAGCCTTTGACATTCTGGTAACAATGGCCGGTGTTATTAATTCGCTATCGATCGGATACAAATTGGATAGTAATTGGTACGATGGATAGGGTTCGACATTTTTATTTATTTACACATTTTTAAAACCTGATACGTTGTCATGATTCATTTGTTTATCAGTTTTGTCGTATCTATCTGTGTGTGTGTGTGTGTGTGTAGAATGAAAATAATACATATGTACTTTATTATTAGAATACGTTTTTAATTTTTTTAGCTATATTTTATTTCTTATTTCATAACTCATTTGTCATTGGACTTGAAAATATTAATGACATGACTTTTTTGTTAGGAATCTTTGTTTTCTTTTACTAGCGAAAAATTACTTATTTTGATAAGAGTTTTTAATGAAATAGGTTGGAAAACATGCGGGCATAATATTATTTGATGTAACGCAATCAACGCTGCCTATTGACAACCTTAACAATAAAGTAGTTATAAGTGCCTTGCGGAATTTTTGTGCTTTGTTAGGTTGAACCGACTAAATGATGTAACAAAGAAATGTATTGTAAAACTGATTAAAAAGGAGTAAACATGGAGTTTCTTGCTCGTTCTTCTCCATAGGAAGCTACACTTTGGAACGAGCAAATAGCTTCACTAGAGGACAGACGGACAGACTGACACGCCTAAAGTTAAAGCTCTTCAAATACTTTTTACTCTTTTTTGCTTGACGGTCAAAGGTGCCTTATTGAAATAAATGACTTTGACTTTTGACTTTGGTTAAGTTAAGTAAGAAAATTTTGTATTTGATTATTGGATATGGGGGAAAGGAGGGAGGATTGGATCTTTGATAATCTCACTCACACTTAGCTTTATACCACGCCGGTATTCTATGAGTCCGTGGAATCACTAAGAACAGTCAACCCGGCCCTTACATGCAGAAACATGGCTCTCTCACATTTAAATATTATAACAATCATTCTTTAATCTTTTCTTCCCCTTACCCCTTATTTCAATTGAAAATATCTTTTGTCAAGACCGATAACGAACAAGATGATTTAATATAACTAAAGCCCACTTCATCGACACTTAATTTGAAACACTTTATCACCAATGGCTCACTTCACAAACAAAATGGCGGCTGATAAAGCCAAACACGAATTATATTGAGAGGAACAATCAAACAAATGACGTCACGCAATGAATGGGAAAGTGAATGGGGTGTACGAATGAATGGGAGTGAATGGAGACGTCTCGATAACTGTGCTTGGAATGGCGCACTGCGGTACCTTTTTTTTTGACAAAAAAAAAGGCTTTCATATTTTTACTTACGGTGTACGCTGTTCAAGGTCACGGCCTATGCTAGTTAGGTTAGGGGTGCTTGTGTGTGTGTGTATGTATGTTGGAAAGTGGGTAATAACTGGGTTGATACATTAATAATTTTGAATAAAGTTAAGATTCAAATTCGAACTTTAAGTACCTAATCTTGACCTTCAATAATTTCAAGGCCGTAGAAGTATATTATACTTATTTCAAATCAAATCAAAATCATTTATTCCAACTTTACCATAAATAGATACTTTTGAAACGTCAAAATAGAATAGTAGTCTGTCAGTCTGTTCATCAGTGAAGCTCGTTCCAAATTGTAGATTCTAATAGAGATAAACCAGCTAGAAACACCATTGTTACTTTTTTTAAATTACTATATGTTTTACAATTTAACTGATAATACAGTCAACAATTTAGGTAAAGTGGATTTTGTTTTGTGAGGGGAAAATCATCAAATGACTTCTCCCTCTCAGGGCCGGGCGGGAGGGGGTGTCAGACTTTTTACTAACTAAAAACCCCCAGTTCCTTCTCCTGCTCTGGGCCGAGTTTGCGGTGTCAAATTGCTCTTACCGCGTAACCCGGGCTGTAGATAAAGTGGATAAAATATGCAATCCTAAATCTGATAAAAAAATGCAAGCAACACTACAAAATAAATCTAAATTCTTTTAATGAAACACAACAAAACATTTCAAGAACGAAACGTTAAATAAAAATATGTCAATGATAAAACATATAACAATAAAAGTATGCTCGCTTTACCAGCAAGAATGGGGCGAAAACTAAAGATTGTCCTAAGGTAATTTTATGGGCTGGCAACACGCAATATATTACTTAGCCACGAACCACGAATATTAAGATCGAGAAGGTTCTTTATGGTACTTATGTAAGCAGTATTTGTATTACATCGAACAGTATTGACTTACAGAAAAATGTAGAGTAGAATGTGTAGTTTTGTAACTTTGTGATATAGAAAAATCAATATTAGTTGGTAGAAAGGTTCATTTCATTCGTTGAAATGCAAAAGTTTATGAATAGAATGTAGATATTATATATTTTTATACGAATATAATTAGATATCTAACTTATAAAGTATTATTTCATAAAATCGAATTAATAAAATGAACAACAAATTTCCAAGACGGTTATAGGAACTGAAATCTTAAGACTAAAACGGTCAAAACTTTTGCAAACAGAGCCTCCAAAAACAAGAAACAAAACGATAATCCATTCCATAGCAAAATAATATTTACCTACTAGAAAATTCCACAAATTAAAGTCTCTTTCTCCTTTTCTTTTCAGGCGAACGTCTAATTCAGTTCGCGTCGGAGAACCTGGTGACGGAGATCCTGATCCACCCTCAGATGAACACGCTGATGCAGTGCATGCGCAACCTGCTCAGCTCCTTTACTCGACACAGGCACCTTGTGCACGCTGGATATACATTCGCTGGGAACGGCTCCTGGATCATGCAGGTATGGTGGCCTAACCAATTTTGTATATACAGAAAGACATAGCGTGTGGAAACACTAACCAGTTGCGTCATCTTGGTCTTGTGACGAGTTTGACAAATCAACATTGAGCATGTTATTTTCGATCTTTTTATGAATAGCATAAAGTATGAAATAAAGAGTCAGTTTCTAGTGAAAGAATAAGAATAATAGAAATTGTTATAGAAGGCCAAGCAAGATAAGTGGGTAAAAAAGTTTGTAGGTTGGTTTATGAAAGACAAAACCAGGTCATGTTTCAAATGACACAAGCGAATGAAATAATACTAAGTCTGAAGTAAAAGCATCCAACAAAGACCTAACAACAACTATTTTCAACCACCACGACATTTTGTTTTTGTGAGGAGAAAATCATTAAATGACTCATCTCACCTAAAGTGAGGCGAGAAAGAGTGTCAGACTTTTACTGACTAAAAAGCCGATCCTTCTCCCGCTATATGCCGAGGCGACGGTACCTCATTGCGCTTGACCCGAAACCTCGAACCACAACTACATACAAATTGATTACATAAACCACAAAAGCCACCAGCACTTAAACAGAAACAACTACAATAAAACTAAATGAACATTCATAAGTACACGCCAAAAGCTTCCAACCAAACAGCGAAGTGAAATTATCGTGTTTACGTTACAACCAATCAGCGACTTAGATTCAAAATAGAACGCCATTTAGCGACAAATTAAGGCACATTATCAAGGGAACGTTGCCATAATAGAATAGTCTGTTCCCATTACGTTTGAGTAAATTGGAATTGAAAATGTACCAAGGATAAGTTCTAGAGTTTTGGTTAAAGTTGTTAGGTGTTTATTATTTAGCTCGTTCTTGTTTTGTTCGTGTGATTTGTCAGTGTGTTAAGAATAAGTTTGTCGAATTGTACCGTCTTTCGACCACATTGAGGATGTTTCTGTATAACAGTTTAATTTTGTTTCATTTATTTCCTTTATTTTTTATTTATTCTTGATATACAATTGCATATACTGCCACTTTTTGTTGGTAGTGTTGGTTGGAATGGTAAGGATATGATGTTCTATTATTTGTTTTCTTTTTGTCAATAGCTTAAATTTAGCCAAGGTTTTGAGTTCGAGCCCTTTATGAAATTGCAGAGATCGTAGTAAAATTGTAAAAAAGGTACTTTGATTCAATTGAAACTAAGATACTTATTATTTTTGGAGTAGGTAATAAAATTAACGATGAACTCAAGGTGACTCACACTGAAAACTTAAGTCCTTAGGAACCAATTTCTAAGCACTAAAATGTCAGAGGCCTATCATAAAACAATTTAAATGAACTGGAACTTATCGGTCTGAAAGAACGTGAAGTATAGCGCCCACCCAAAATTCTTCGCTTCCAAAGTAATTTAATATCGCTGTTATTTGAACTCGTAACTTCGCTAATTGGATAAAGTTTTTGTTTATTTTTCGTGCCAACAAAAATGTAGCAAATAAAATAGCAAACGAAATTGTAATAAAAACAATAAATTTTGTTATTTTTTTTAACTGTCTATGTAATTTGAAACCTATAATGTGTATGTAATATGTTTAATAATGTTTTTTTACAAATGGTTTCGAAACGTTTCCGTATAGGAAACGTTTCATCATTGATAAGAATTATGGACGAAACATAGTAATCATTTATCCTTACCAGGCACTTTTCATACCTCATTTTTACCTCAACGTGGTTTCTAGCTTCTGCAGGCCCACAAAATGTTTTTAATACACTGAATCAATAAAAATATACCGCTCAGTCAAAATATATTCAAAAATTAAGCCTTCGACGTAATACAAGTTACACATTTCAATTAAAATTAAAATCCGGATCAAAAACGGAGTGTATTCGACAAGCTGTGAATGAACATTCGCTGATTGACATTTCCTTAACGACGGAACTGTACCGGAAATTAAAACTACAGGCACACATCGGACAGGATTTTGTAGTTTATATGTATGTATGGTACATAGAACTGAAAAGTTGTGGATTATTAACGACTAACTACTGTCGCGCGGTTTCACCCGCTGTTCGGCTCCATTTAATCGTAGTGTGATGTTTTAGCCTATAGCACTCAGGAACATTGTAGCTATCTATCAGTGAAAGAATTTTGGCAATCCGACCAGCGGTTCCAAAGATTACCCCCTACATACAAACTTACAAATTTTACATCTTTATAATATTAGTATAGATGAAAGTAAAGTAAAAAAATCAAAGCTAAACTAAAACAGCTTGTTGGAGAGCCATGCTTCGGCACGAATGGGTCGTCTTGACCGGAGTGATACCACGAACTCATAGAATATCGGCGTGAAGCAATACTTATGTAGTGTTTTACCGTATGAGTGAGGTAGCTCGTAGTAACTCCTTTGTCCATGTGTGTCCATGGGTGGCGTCGATTGCTTATCATCAGGTAATCGTTTGCATACCTATATAAAAAATATTTTAAGGGTCGAAATAAGCATTCAATGATTTGGTAGAGGATCACATTTAACAAAATCAAAGTTAAATCATTTATTTAGACTATTGTAGACAGATTTGAAAGTCAAAGAGAGATTTTAAAGATTAAATGAGATTTTTTATGTCATTGGAATGTCATCAAATGACCTCTCCCGCCCAAGGTAAGACAAAAGAGAGTGTCAGACTCTTACTGACTAAAAGCCCCCGTTCCTTCTTCTGCTCTGGGCCGAGGCCGCGGTGACTCATTGCGCTTAACCCGGCGAGGTTCATAGTTAAGGCATTATTTAGTTTCATTTTGTAAAAACAGTGTAACACTTATAAGTACTTGTCTAGCCAAAAACTTTATTCGAGAGCATTTTAATCTTTACTTCATAGTCTTTTCTATATCACCATTTTTTGGTTTAAAATGCTCTAAGTTGACTGAAAAGTTCATTCATAGCATATTAAACAACTAATCCAAACATTGGATTAAAAATCCTTTATAATAGAAAATTTTAAAAGGCGACGTTGACTTCAATGGGCGCTGTATAAGCTGTATAAGCGCTGACTCTCAAACAATTGCTATTGTTGTACTGAAAAAACTGTAATCCTTTTTCTATGAATGGATTATAAAATTTTGAATAGATGGAGAAAATTGTGCTTTTGTTATAGTTCGTGGACTTTCGTCGTATTAAAGGTTTATAATATAATGGTAATATTAAACTACATGGTAATTAAGAGGACGGGCAATTATGAATATATTTTAAAATGACTATGAATGTTAAAACGCTATTAGCTAATTAGTGGCATAGGTCAGCAAACGGGCAGGCGGATTACCTGATAGTAAGCAATCGGTGCTGCTAATGGACACCCACAAAATAAGATGGGTTATAAGTGCGTATGCCAGCCTTTTAGGGTTTTAAGTATTGAGAAATCGGCGATGGAATCCAGGATAATCTCTGCCGGATCTGTGAGGCCGTGGTTTTACTTGTCAATCTGGCCCATTCGAAGTATAAGCATGACTTTTAAACAATAACACAGCAAATCTATGCAAATGATTATACAAACAAAAAAATTGACAATTCCTATGAGTAGACAGAGATGCATACAACCAAAAAACGATTTTCCATTTTCTTGTTTTATTTTCCAAATTTTACATATTTATGTATTAATTTTAATTTGTATTAATTTTAATACTGATTACATAAACAATAATAAATATGACATAAGAAAAAAAAAGTAGCCTTGTATACATGCCCATTTGAAACATTAAAAGGTATATTCAATACAAATTTAGAAAAACTTCTCTCAATACACACCTAATGGTTGTTGCACGAGATATCACTCCCTAATGACCTGCTAGGCATGTCACTCAGAATTGATGGATGTCTCAATGGCTGTGTATTTGAACTGATTTCTTAGGTACTAATGGAGGCTTCGCTTTGTATGTTCTAACTTATGTAGTTTATAGTATTACTAAATTAGATATTTGGTCAGTTATGTTGGTCAAGATCTTGATAAGCTTATTTATTTGTGAATCTTATTACTCAAGAAATGATTGTAGTGAGTCAGATGTAAATATTAAGTGGCACAATACAGAGACTTTAACAATTTATCAAAGTTTGGAGTTTAATTTATATTAGTTATTTAGTTTTTAGTAATTATAAACACTGACATACCTACACAATACTCCTGGAGTGGACGCCTTAATTGGCAGGGTCGCCATGTAAGGTGGTGCGTCAGAGAGATTATAGAAACAAATTTATTGTTTGAAGTTACATTTACTTCTCCCTTAAACATTAGATACAATCGGATATATAGGTATATATTGATTACACACTTAGATCTAGCAGTAGGCATGTATACACACATAATCTATTCACTCACTCCTGTTAAAAAATGTATGCAACATTTCATAAGAACAACAGCTATCCTTATCATAAACTCGTATTATAAATTTTGTCTTCATCTAACATATATCTTTATCCTTGTTTCAGGACGGGACCTTTTCCCTAGCTGATTTCACTGATGCTTACCAAGAAAATGAGGTACAGCGCGTCATTCGCGCCTATGAGAATTCGATTTCTATCGATGTTCACTGCTCTACAAGCGGTGGAGGAGAATGGGCCAAGCTCCCCGAGATGCCCTTCGTGAAATACTGCAAGATTAGGGTCAACCCTACGGATATACTCGACTCTGGCTCCCAAGCCATCAAGGATTTTATTGGTAAGTACTAGCATTGTATTTAAAATTATCAGAAAACGATGTGACGATGTGTCACGCACACAATGCTTTGGTTTTTTCACCCGTTACTGTGTTTAGTCCTCAAAATAACCGAATCAGAGCGTTGAACATTATAAACGTCTCGTAAGGTAAAGCAAACTCGCATTTGGCACTCAGAAACGCACAATGTTTTAAGTAACAATGTGTATGTAGCATACGATTTATTTACTTCTTAGACAAAAATAGAAAACTTCAATCTCATCTACAGAAAGATTTTGTTTCCTCAATTGTCATAAACTAATTTTAGGTAGCCTACGGCCTACCTAACGGACCGGTCTTCTAAATACAAATATATTTTTATTGGTCCAATTCGCAGTTCTCTACATTATTCTGTTTTTACAAACAGACTATGAATGGAGATGACCAGTGGTAAATAAATGTTGTAAAGATTTATATAATGGTGGGGGAATCGTAGAACCGATTGAAATAGAAATCCCTTCCCTGACTTCTGAGCTTAGTAGACTAGTAGACACAAGTTTGAACTTAATATCAGGGAGAGGTGTATTGTATAATCTGAATTCTGTTGATATTCTAACCAATTAAGGTCAAACTCTAGTCCAATTACGATACTGGGTCTGTGATAATCCTTTCTGGATCTTAGGAATGATACAACGTCGATTGAAATTGAATTTGGTCGGATTGGAAATTTAGGACCCTTCATAGGAAGCCATATTGTGGCACTAAGGTCTATATACCAGTATATGTAATATATTGGGTGATGGTTGATTCTATATTCAAGGTCGAGTCTAAATATATTATTTCATATACATCATCATGAGTTTTACGGCTGACGAACGAAGATTACATTTAGTACGATTACGATTTAGTAAATAAGAGCTACGTATTTACTGCTTCGCATATTTTCATCAACTGGCTTGGGTTAAAGAAATAATCTAACTTGTAAGACATCCTTACATTTATAGACGAAGTATGTCAATGAAGATACGCTATCGAGTCCCTTAACAATTGACTGTTGCTTTATTATTTTTCTCCTAAATACAAAATATCTGTACATTTGTAAGTACGTATTTACAGATCATTAATAATTTAAATATTAAGTGTACCACAATTCTAGGAACACAACACTCAATTAAAAAACGAAAACCACAGTAAATTTCTATATTCTCTAATTACAACAAAAGCCAATCTCTATCCTATTTTCTGAAGTAAACTATAACGTCGTCTTAATCAATATATCAGCCTGGATTACTGTCTAGATCCTCTTGAGTGATTGGATCTGTGATTACATTACGTTCGAGAATTATCGATGTTGCTACGTCTAGTGTTTGTCTCATCAAAGCGTTTGCTACGTATGTTGTTAGACATGGCTCTGTTAGTTTTATCTTAAATTCATATTAATTGCTTCTTAGTCGTTGTATGTAAATATTGTTAGGAGAAATTGGTTACAGTAACTGTAACCTATTAGTCCACTGTTGTCCACAAACAACTGTTGATTGTAATAATTGTAATGACACCAGTGTAGTTAGCTATAAAAAAATTGCATGATCTTTGTCGATAATTACGTTTCTGCAATATTAAAGTTAAAATCTATATTATTAACAGTTCTATATAGATTTTTAGTAGGAAGCGAGCTTTAAGAGTTCTGTTATAGTATCAAAAAATATATGAAACAACAACACAGCACTTCGAATATCAAATCGCATAAATAACACTAGGAAATTCCAATCAAAATCCGTACAGAAATCACTCCACATTTCCATATGAAACCTCAATAAACCAAACGTAATTGGCACCAGAGAAACTTACCAAATACCAAGGATATTTGGCTTCAATGCCAAAGTTAGTAGAACAAGTTGCAACAACTTGCACAGAGCTTGCAATGTTTGCTACTATGCGCCATTCACAATGCACTAACGATCTTACTTGTGTTCAGACCTGGGATACTGGCACGGGTAAACTTGTAGGGTGACGGTAATTAAGGATGGAGAAACGGATAGTCCTAAAATACGATTAAGAAGTACACTAACAAAACTTGGGTAGTAAGTGTGAGTGAGCTAAGCTTCGGCACGAATGGGTCGGCTCGACCGGAGCGATACCACGGCCTCATAGAAAATCGGCGTGAAACAACCACAGCGTTGTGTTTCGCCGTGTGAGTGAGGTTACAGGAGGCCCAATCCCTCCCCAATCTTAAAATGTCCAAATCCCTAATCCACACAAGGTTGTTAACGCGCTCGTTACTCCTCCGTTGTTACGGGTTCCATTACATACGTATTTATACGTATATACGTATACGTTTGCTGGCATATCAAATACAAAAAAATGACTTAATAGTTCTTGATAGTGTTTGTTAAGAAATGGATCTTATTAGGTTTTAACTTAAGAAAATGTGCATTAATTTTTCAAATAGGTATCTATTAATATGATAAATATTGAAGTTAAACAGAAACTAAAACTAAACACAAAGAATAGGTTACATAAAATCTGAGTAGGTATCCGTTGGGGGTTATTGACGGTACTTAATGAAACAAAGACAGTCTCCCTTATTTATATTAAAGTCTAAAATATTGTGTTTTAGGTACGAAAATAAAAACCTTTTTATCACGTACCAAATTAAAATTCAAGACCATAACTTGAAATTTTACCTTTACATCGTAAAGCAGCTGTTTACACAGCCATTCCTTTCAGTATTAAATCTCAGAATAGAGCCTAAAAACAAAGAACATTCTGTTGTAAACACCTTTAATATCGGTTCAATTACCCACTTCTGTACCAAATTAAGTTTAGTAAGCAGGTTTGAAGTGTTAACAGTAGGCGTTTGAGTGTTAAGTCCGCCGGCACCATTTTACGCCGCCCGGTAAATCCTTGTTAATATTTAACTAAGTATTCACGATGGTAAATGTTGAAGGCATCGTGTTTCAGACGGATATATATTTCCTTTTTGTTTATTTGGGTACTGTTTGCGGATCTCTGTTTGGATTATTTAAGTTTTTATATTGGTGTTAACATTTTTTTAATTAAAATTACTAGCTTCAGCCCCGGCTTCGCTCTCGTTGTATGTTGATCTACATACCAAATTGCAACCGAATCGGTCAAGCCGCGTTTTTGCGTGAAAGAATAACAAACATACGTACATACATTCACATTTATATATGTACATATAATATAACTAGCTTTTGCCCGCGATTCCGTTCGCGTGGAACAGTGACTTCCTGCAAATTTTTGGTATAAAATCTCTCCTATGTCCTTTCTCAAGTTCCAAACTTTGTCCGTACCAAATTTCACAGAAATCGGTTTAGTAGTTTAGGCGTGAAAAAAAGACAGACAGACAGAGTTACTTTCGCGTTTATAATATTCATTAGGATTCGGATTAGAATTAGTAAGATTAACCTGAGTATAGGTACTTTAAAAATATTCAAAACAGTGGTAGTGGTCTATTCTGTTATTATGTTATTGTCACCCTACAGTACACCGTTCACAATGTTGGCAATGACAAGCGTTTGTACACGGTAAGCAAATCGGCGTAGTGCCGTAGACAAGCGCTACGAGCTGCTACGCCCCGGCTACGAATTTGCTACGACGTCGCTAGACTAATAATTTTATAGCGTGTTTACAATGAAGATGGTTATTAATATTGAGTTAGTTAATTTATTAAATGTTACTTTCACGTTTATGTTGTTGATTATAACATACTTTTATTTGAATATTTATTAAGCGTAGCAAATGGTACATAAAATAGTACTCTTTATCAAGATTGATTCCAACTTTAAAGTCAAAGTCAAAATCATTTATTTATATTATATATATTATACAGGCACTTTTGAACGTCAAATAAATTTTTAAAGATATAAAGTGTCAGTCTGTCGGTCTGTCCTCTTAGTGAAGCTATTCGCTCGTTCCAAAGTGTAGATTCCGATGAAGAAGAACGAGCAAGAAACTCCATGTTTACTCTTTTTAAATCAGTGTCACATAAAGATCATTTCATTATTTAGTTGGTTTGATTATGTGAGAACAGTCTAACGCTATTATACAAGAAACAAACAAATTCAACTATATTGGAAGCCTAAATTTAATAATGTCCTCTTTATTTACTAAAAAGAATTACCACAGACCTTAATTTATTACCTTAACCTCCAAAACTAGGCCTGGCGTGTTTCAGGCCTATTAAAACGTTAATATTTAAACATTACCTGAAATAGGTCTAAATTGTAGCCTCTGTTTTAACTCTAGATTATTTCTTTAGCTTTATTGAGTTTTATGACACATTTATTATTTTATGTTTTAGCCAGAATTATTGAGCCTTTTTATGGTTGGTCATTAAATTTATTTATAGTTGTAAACGGAATTTGCAAAGCTTTTTTGAAAGTAATAATTGTTTTCAGTACAGGTGAAATGAACTTAGTGATGAATGTTTAAATTCCAAATTCTTGTTTATTTTTTATTATTTTTTTCTCCATTCAACACAACTTGGAATGAGCACCTAGCTTCACTGACGAACAGACTGACAGACTACTTTTCTATTTTGACGTTTCAAAAGTACCTATTTATGGTTTAATTGGAATAAACGATTTTGACTTTGACTTTGTTATTTATTATAATTATTAATTCTCATTTAGCCGGTATAATACACAATTGGTAGATGTATTGTGCTTTAAAAGATCGCAATCGTAGAATTAGTTACAAAATTTAAAAAAAGTCATTACAAATCAACTTCAAAGGGAACTCATTCAAATGCTACACAAAACAAACGAACAGAACGTTAAATAAAAGTCTCCTTTGTTTTAAATCCAAAAAGCCAAATCCCATTCCGCACAATCCACAATAAGCTGCTTTAATAACACAAACATTGAGACAAACATACTCAGTCCTTTTTACAGATTCAAATTTGGAAACAACGACATTTTTTACTCACTTTTCAGCATCAAAAAGGTTTTAATGCCTTTGTCAGTACCGACGGCAGCTGGTCAAACTACCCCTTTTTATCA